CACACACATTTAAGGTGTTGATCACAATTACTGAAAATGAGAATGTAAAAATTGTCTTTGATTCAACGTAGGAAATCTTTCAACCTTTCTTCATATGTTTTCGTCTCCAGGCTTTTAATCATCTTAATTGCTCTTCTTTGCATTTTTTCCAAAGTCTCAGCATCTTTTTTGTAATGTGGTGACCAAAACTGGACGCAGTATTCCAGGTCTGGTCTATGCCTGTGTTTATCCAACCAAGGATTATATTAGCCTTTTTTGGCTGCTGCCGCACACTACTGACTCATGTCTAAGAGATTGTCCACTAGGACTCCAAGGTCCCTCTCAAAGTTACTGATTCTGAACTTGGTTTCACCAAATCTGTACTTGTACCTTTGGTTTTTCCTGTTCAGGTGTAAAACCTTGCTTTTCTCCACATTAAATTTCATTTTGTTGGATAGACTTATCAAAATATTTTTAAATCCTGAGCTTGTCTTTTGGGCTGTTGGCAATTCCTGCCAGCTTAGTGTCATCTGCAAATTTGATAGTTCCCCTTCTATTCCCTCATCTAAGTCATTAATGAAGATATTGAAGAGTTGTGGGCCTAAGAAGGAACCTTGTGCTACCCCACTGCTTATTTCCCTCCATGTAGATGTAATACCATGAAGGACTACTTGTTGAGTATGGTTTGTTAGCCACTTACAAATTCATGTGATGCTAATGCTGTCTATCCCACATTTTCCTAGCTTACCAAGAAGTAGGTGGCAGTCTACTTTGTCTAATGCCTTGCTGAAGTCTAAATATGCTATGTCCACAGCATTTTGTTGATCTACCAATTTATTCATTTTGTCAAAGAATGAAATAAGATTGGTTTGATATTATCTGTTTTTAACAAACCTCTGCTGGCTACTAGTTATAACTTTATTTGTTTCTAGATATTCACGGATCTGTTTTTTTTATTATGTTTCCCAGTCTTCCCAGGTCTTGATATTAGACTGACTGGTCTGTAGTTTCCTGGGTCTTTCCCCACTTCCTCTTTTTTTTTTTAAGATGGGAACCACATCAACTCTTTTCCAATACTCTGGAAATTCCTTGGGGCTTGTGATGACCCGGGACAAGGCATGAAGGCCACACAGCCAGCTGAGAGCTCAAACTCCCCTTTAGTGCTCCAACTTTACCCCAAACACCCCCATGTTATGCAAGTCCCAGAGCGTACACACACACACACACACACACACACAGAGAGAGAGAGAGAGAGAGAGAGAGAGAGCAGCCCCTAGCTGTGAGTAGTCCAGCAAAATGCTGTTAACACAGTGGCTTCAAAACAAGAATTCCAGCGAGGCACAGGAAGAAGGAAATGAATCCACGAAGCAAGGCAGAAACAATGAGTGCATGAAGCACGGAAGAAGCAATAAGTCCATGAAGCAAGAAAGAAGCGAGCAGTCTTGCAAACGCCAGACGTCGGCAATGGCATACAAGCTCCACAAATTCAGCATTTGTTCCTGACAAATGCCTCTCCCCACAGCGTTTATTTTAAGTCTCAGTCCCCAGACGCTTCCCTCCTGAGTTGTCAGGTTGGCCTGCACTGTTCACCCTCCTCTCCACTCTCCGTGCTCAGGGATCAGGAGGGGATGGTCCTTGCTCATCGCCTGAGTGACATTTTTCCTCATTTCCACTGCCTGCCCTCTCTCGGTCATCCTGCCCCCATTTTTCCCTGCTGGCAAGCTGTCCCAGGTCAGGCGGGTTGCCTCATCCTGCTCTTCCCTGCATTTCTCCAAAACCAACGAGGCTGCCCCCTCAACTTCCATCAACTCCAGCTCCTGTTTGTCCTCCGTGGATTCAGGTTCTGACGGGATTTTTTAAAGATACGATATAATTAGTACAGTAGAAGATAACAGTTTTACGACCACCACTTTTTGCTTTTACACAACCGTGTGTACAAGCCATTTCAATAAGAATAAGCCTATCTGGTTAACAAAAACAAAATCAACGTTTCATTTTTTCCCCATTAAAAGCACAAAATCCAGAAAACAGAAACAAAGTTTGATAACAGAATCAATTTGAACATATCTGCTTCATAATTTATATTAAGAAAATCCTCTATATCATTTTTTTAACCCTAAAGGGAGAAAACACTTTTTTTTGGTTTTGATATTTCTTTAAAAAGTACTCAAGTATTATATATATGTAAAGGAGAAAAAAAGAAGACCCTTCATTTTAAACCCAGAACCCAAAACACAATATTACATTATTCAGCATCATGTAAAAAGACAGAGATCATATATTTACACTCATTTTAAACATACAAAACTAACTTCAAGCTTTCTTTCAATACATATCTATCAAACTTATAAAAGTCCACCCTAACCAATTAAGTCATTAAATTTAAGTCACTCCCTCAAGCTTATCTTTATAGAAAGAAGTCTTTTTCTCATCAGGGGGAGTCTTTTCTTTAAGAAGTTATCAGCCTTATTTACATCCATGAAAAAAAGTTTCCAGTTGTCCTATTAGATGTTGTAAATTAACCTAGAGCTAATCCTTGCAGATTAAAGCTTCCTTCTCTAAAATGACTATCATATGGTTTTTTTCTCAAAGTATTCTCGACTTTGTTAGTATCCATGAAGAAAAAGTCCCAAACTTGACCTCTTGAGAGTTGTGACTTGGTATTCTTGTTTCAGTTGCACTGGGAGGTTTATATTCAAACCATCATCATAAAAAAAAAAGTTAATATCAGATTTATATTCCAAAG